TATATATATATATCAACAGTTATGCCACGCAATAAGATCATATTTTTAAAACTTAAATTACTATACAGATTTTTAAACTAGTGTTTAGGAAGAGGAATAATTTGAAACACAAGAAGTCGAGCCAATATTTCTTTGCTTGACAACAATATATGAATATGTCGCGTGTTATCACCATAACAATGCACATAGCCAGCTGATAAATAAGTTACGAAATAAAACTAGATGTTTTATCCTAAATTAGGCCTATCTAGATACCTAATATCCTAAATTAGACCTATCTAGATACCTAATATTGTAATATTTTACTTGCGATAAAGGAAAAGTCCAATAAACATATTCCAACAGAGTTTTAACTATGGATTTATTTTTCTTTCACATAAATTCACACACAAACTGAGTTTGATCATTTTGGATCATGTATTTTTTGTTTGGTGGATTTGGATAAACTTAGCGCGCAAGTTTTAACGCACAATCTGGCATCACTTCCCGTTTTCTCCACACCAATTCTTCATCTGCTGTTACGTTTAATATCCATTTCTTCAAATCCAAGTAACTAGGATCTCTCCAAACACTGCGTGTCGTCAGCTCAGTCGAGAAGTATTTTGGAATCGACGAATATCGCAACTTGGTAGGGCACTATTCTCTAACCACGATTGCCTGTACTGTGTCACGCATGGTTGACAGAAGCAATGGGAACAGACATCTTCGCCTTCATCTGGTTCCACAATGAAATCTAGCTTTGACACTAATCCACTCATCCCAAAAATCGGCACTGAATTTGTCAAAGTTTCTGTTGCACTTGCAAGGGCGGGAAGAGAGGCGCCATCTTGTTGACAGCCGGAATGATGTCATCTTGATTTGGAACTTTCTCCACGATAAAGTCATCAATGTCATAATTGAAATGACCAAAGGCTCCCCTGATAATCTCGAAAAACTCTTCCGTCAAATTAAGCATCACACGAAAATGTTTTTTTGTTACTCGTATTGAATAAAAGCGAACTTGCAAAGTATTTGACAGTAGCAGTAAACCAATTCGAATGCGCACACGGGGCGTGGTTGCTGTGAGATCGCGTGGTCGAGAAAGCGGTAAAGAAAAGATTTTAGAAAGTAATGAGAAGGAATCCACAGTGCAATCCAAACATATGTAAAACACATCATGTTTTATAACAGTATTCACGAGAACAAATTATGTTCATGTCGAAGAAGTTACAAGATCCAGTGACCTGAATAATCATGATGAAAATAATGTTCACGCACAGGACAGAATTAGTGTGAACAAATTTTTACAAACCTGTAGAGGTTATGAATTCTCTGATGAAATCCTCCTTGGGGCACTTATTGCATTTTCCTGGCTCAAGAAAATCTACATGACATAGTTGTAACCATTTTCCTTAATAAAATTGTTACCACACAAAAACTTCGTTTTTTTTGTATGATCCCCAAGGTCCCCAAACCCAACCGGCGCGTATTTTGGCGCGTCACGCCAAGGGAAGCAACTCTCACCCAAATCACTTTCCATATGTCTAATGCTGACGGAATGTGGGGAGGTGGGTGGCCGTGCCCTAAGGAGGATTTCATCAGAGAATTCATAACCTCTACAGGTTTGTAAAATTCTCTTTCAGATTAAATCCTCCTGGGGGCACTTATTGCATCCAGACAGACTCCTAAAGATAATCTAGGAAGTGGCATCCGTCAGCAACAATAAATAGCGTAATAAATACATCGTATTTTGAATATTCAGTGAATAGACTAAGAGTTCAATACCCCCCCCTCCCCCCATACACACACACACACACACACACACACTTTTTTTAACGAGTAATATAGGGGCGTAGATCACGAGAGACTATAACCGCGCTGAGCTAGGCCAGAGGGTCTCCGAGGATCTGAGGAGTGCTGTGCAATACGAGTATTATCGAGTAGTATGGACAGATAATTTATCGACTGTAGAAGATAGAATCCGGACCGTTACTGAGCAGTTGTATAACCGGTCCAGGCGATCTAAAATCTCGAAGGCTCAATTGGCTAGAGATTAGAACTTTGCCCTGTTCGAAGAACTGACTGACCAAACCGAGCACGCTCGCTTGAGTGTTTGTCGAGTTGGTAGTGTTTTATGAACATGCTTGGCTGGCTCCAAATAGCCGCAGAGCAGATCTCCTCAATGGACAGAGCCGCAGCATACGCTTGTGACGTAGCTACCGCTCTAACCGAATGAACCTTCAACCTGGTAGGGGGGTCCCTGCCTTGAAGGGTGTACGATGTACAGATAGTAGAGACTATCTACCTGGAGATAGTTTGTTTGCTCGCCATACCGCCATAACAGCAAAATAATTGGTTATCCTTACGGATACCCTTAGTTCTGCTGATATAGGCCTTGAGGGTGAGGGTGAGCATGTCTTGCAGTGGTCCCCGACGAGGAAGGCTGTGAAAGAGCAGGTAGCTCAATAGGAGCTGTCACGTGGAAGGCGTGTGCGACAGGACGGTAAGAATCCGGCAACCGAATACTGACCCTGTCCCGATGGAAGACAGTTAGCTCGGGATCGGCTGACATTGCGTGAATGTCGCCTACCCGTCTGCCGGACGTTACCGCCACAAGGAACGCCGTTTTCCAGCTCAACAGCTGAAGAGAGAGAGACGACAGATTCCGAAAGGAAGGACCGGACAGCCAATCAAGTATGATTGACAAGTCCCAAGGGGGACTGATCCGCCGTAAAAAGCGCTGTACTAATGGGTGCGCACCCAGAAGTGCCCTGTCGACAGGGACATGAAAAGCTGCAATAGCTGTAGAGTACCCACGGACTGTCGATGCGGCCAGGCCGTCATCTAGTCGCGACTGGAGGAACTCAAGCACGGCTACGAGATCTGCAGAAAAGGGATCTGCAATCCCTCTATCCACACACCAGCGCGCATAGAAGGCCCATCTATTCTCGTACTGAACGTTTGTCGAATCCCTCCGCGAAGCCAGTATTGTGTCTGCAACTCGTGCAGGAATACCGCTCTTCTGGAGGCGATTCCTAACAGTGGCCAAGCCACCCACTGAATCCTGGGATTCGGGCGGAGGGCCCCGTTCCGGGAAAGGAGGTCCGGTCGTAAAGGTAAGTGAACAGGAGGCTGAGCCAGAAACCTGAGTATTACTGGAAACCAGCTCTGCGCCAACAAAAGAGGTGCCAGGAGCACAAGTAGTCGCGCAGGCTGAGTGGCTAGCTGAGATAGGACCTTGGGGATCAGAGGTACTGGGGGGAATGCCCACAGTATTTTGTCCGTCCAATCTAGCTGGAAGGCGTCCGCTGCCACCGACCTCGGTTTGGGGACTCGGAAACAGAAGGTTGGTGTCTGGTGATTCACCCCAGACGCAAACAGATCCACCTGGAACGACCCGTATAACTGGGAGATAATCCCGAATATCCCCGGGTCGAGCCTCTACTCGTGAGGAGCGAGGATCCGGCAAGACAGAGCGTCCGCACGGACGTTGTCCACCCCCGGGAGATAAACAGGTATCACCCTGATATCGTGTGAGTCGCACCATAGGAGGAACTGCCACGCCTCTTGGAGAAGCGACGGTGACACCGTTCCCCCCTGCTTCCGGATGTAAGTCATCGCCGTTTGGTTGTCCATCTCTAAGACGAACCAGTTGGCCACGAAGCAGATCCGGGAAGCGTTGGAACACCAACCTGACCGCTCTAAGTTCTAGCACATTGATATGCAGTTTGATCTCCTGCTGGGACCATAGTCCCGAGGCTGTGTGATCGTTCAGAACGCCTCCCCAGCTGGAGAGTGACGCGTCTGTTTGAACTGTGAGAGACGGAACGGGAGTGTCGAGGGGGAGCCCATGGGACAGATTCCCGACCTCGGTCCACCACTGAAGGTGTGTAATGAGCCACTGTGGAGTCTCGAGAACAGTCTCGAGATCTTCCGAGTTCACCCAAAGTTGACGAAGTGCTTGTTGAATGGGTCTCATTCTCAAGCGCGCCCGCCAAACAACATCCACTGTCGCCGCCATGTTGCCCAGTAACTGGAGCCATGTACGAGCAGTGTGACTGGCGGACAGAAGAAACTGGGAAGTAACACTTCTGACCTTGACTATGCGGTCTTGTGATAGAGATACAAGTCCGCTCACTGTGTTGAAGTTCGCCCCTATGAAGACAAGATTCTGAGTAGGGCTCAGCTCTGACTTCTTGAGATTGACTATCCACCCTAGTGTGATCAGAATGTCTATCACAGCGTGTGTAGCTATCTGACTCAGGGATTGCGATAGAGCTCTTAATAACCAGTCGTCGAGGTTTGGGTGGCAGAACCGACCCTTCGACCTGGCTACATGGGCAGGAATCAACATCAGCTTGGTGAACACCCTCGGGGCCGTGGAGATCCCGAATGGTAGAACCCTGAACTGATAACACCTCCCGTCGAAAGAAAACCTGAGGTATTTCTTGAACTCTGGGTGTATGGGTACGTGGAGATAGGCGTCTTTTAGGTCTATTGACGATAACCACGTGGGCTTCCAACAGTTAAAAAACTTAAGATAAGGTGCTCTGGTGAACTCCAAATGTTTCTTGTTTTCATCATATCGATGGAGTTCTTTTATAGTCTCATCTGATGATCTCACGTCCGGACAATAAGTCATTGTAGCTCGTATGAAACAAGCTTTTCATATGAAACAGAAATACAAACACGATCTTGACAAGGTATACCAAGTGTGGCCATTAAAAGCGCGTGTGCTGTGACCTAATAGTTCTGTGCATGGCCATGGACTACGACTGAAACGCGAGTATACATGTACGGTAAATACGAGATTCACGACATTGTGGTTACTTGTCGCGTTTTCGGACTTTTTCCATTTGTGACTGCTTACCAACGACCGAGATTGAACGAGACCATATCTTTCGTATTATTCATACGAACCATCTGGATTTTATGACATAAAACACAAAACGAACAATGTGACATTATTACATTCAACAGAAAGGACCTTGAATCAAAGTGAAGAAGAATTCTAGACATACCCGTTTTGTCTTTTGTCCTGGATGCTTCCCCCTCTTCCGGAATCCACTCACTGCAAGGACAAACAGTTGAATATTACTGATTTGAGAAGATCTATCCTGAAATATAAACTCCTATAAGAATAATATGTACTCCATTCACATACTACTACATTTTGATTTAATGTTCTGTATGTGCTGATCTGAACATTCATTTTCTTGTCCTCTTTGTCCATGTCACAAAATTACTCTCCAATAAATGCATTGATACCTCCCACATTTTCAACTGTTGATACCTGTCATACCTATATTTATAAACGAGTCCACAGCCTTGCCAAAGAACATCTTTGGCTTTTCTTCAATGAACTGCTTTACAGGTTCGGATGCTGAAAAGTATGAAAACAGGGACGTTGTGACTAGAAACAACCTAAAAATATATGATGACAGCGTCATTGTATGTGTTACACTGATAAAAGTCACAGAAACATTTCGATTCCTGTGGTCCATGTTGATATATGCAATACATACTATAAATGAATATGTTACATACTCAATCCGGATGAAATACTGTCAATACGATACTAACGGTCCCTGACTGATACATATACATTTTAGCTCACACACTTTGATTCGATATTTTGATTGTGAAGCGGTAATTAGCAACGTGTCTTCATACTAGCGTCTTGAATGACATTTTCGGCAGGTTCAGTAGCTGAAAAAAAAGTTCAAAGATGAATCGTTATCAGTAACCATTTAACTTAACAATACACACAAATAAAAAAGACATGCTCATTGCATTTTGCTGGTTTGTTCCATGACCAGCAATATGCCAGTTATATGACAGTGGATTGTAGATAATCAAGTCTGGACGACGTAATATGCCAGTTATATGCCAGCGGATTGTAGATAATCAAGTCTGGACGATGCAATATGCCAGTTATATGACAGCGGATTGTAGATAATCAAGTCTGGATGTTGCAATATGCCAGTTATATCACAGCGGATTGTAGATAATCAAGTCTGGACTATGCAATATGCCACTTATAACACAGTGGATTGTAGATAATCAAGTTTGGACGATGCAATATGCCAGTTATATCACAGCGGATAGTAGATAATCAAGTCTGGACGATGCAATATGCCAGTTATATCACAGCGGATTGTAGATAATCAAGTCTGGACTATGCAATATGCCACTTATAACACAGTGGATTGTAGATAATCAAGTCTGGATGATGCAATATGCCAGTTATATCACAGCGGATTGTAGATAATCAAGTCTGGACAGTTATATAAACCAGAGGTTGATATCACGAGCAACACCCACAGCCAGAGGAGCATGATGACATGCAATATAGCAAATCACAGAACCTGTCTTCCACTCAGTTGCCACATACGACAAGCCACGGATGGCTTGAGTCATATTCTATCCTGTGACCTGACGCGATTCCTCAACGTAAGTACTCAAAGAATGGTAGTAAATTTGGATCTTCATCTGAGGAAATTGATGCTTTGTCAATCCAAGCATAAAATGGGATACCATACATGAATATGTGATATTAGTTATACTCGATCACCCCGGATGGCATACTCTTTGATTCGATTGTTCTGATCGTCAAGAGGTGATGCCAGTGTAATATTACGAGTGGTTGCAGATGACGACAGCCATTGTAGATAACATCATATGTAAAGTTGTGGGACATTGTAAGAATTTTTGGCTGCCTCTGGTGAATTCGTGAAGTAAGAAGAAATGTGGAAATTGTAAATAATCATAGCTACCTTGGTAACATCATAAAGGCCGTGACCGTGACCGTGAAGATCCGGGGTAGAATAGGTCTTCAGCAACCCATGCTTGCCGTTAAAGGTGGCTATGCTTGTCGTAAGAGGCGACTAAAGGGATCGGGTGGTCAGGCTCGCTGACTTGGTTGATGCATGTCATCGTATCCAACTTGCCCGGACTGATGCTCATGTTGTCAATAACTTGATTGTCTGGTCCAGACTCGATTATTTACAGACCGCCGTCATATAGCTGGAATATTGCTGAGTGCGGTGTAAAACAACAAACAAACAACAACATAAAGCATAATGGGTTATTTGCCATGACTCAGAAACATTAGCTGGAAAAGGTTTAAAACAAAACTACTCCATGCAAGTGTTGAAATTAGCTCAAATATGCATAGTCAAACCTGGAAGCGTCTAAGCATTTTGAAACGTCAAAAACTCAAAACACCTATGGAAATATTATTTCCTGTGAATTTTTAGTTTGCAACGATTTAATTTATTACACTTGGAGTGACAATATTGACCTTTTCCAGACTTCGCCACCTCCAGTTTAAAATCGGCACATTTTCAATCTGAAGTTTGGTTCACTAACTGTTTTTCTGGAAGATGCCAAAGTTACTTTTTCAAATTCTACAATACTTCTGTAGTAAGCTTTAGTAGATGTATGAAAAGTTTGGCTGTTGGTGGCTTCAGGATCAGTGCCAAAGAAAAATCATATGTAAAAATTATGTCAAAAGGCACGTTAAATGTATTCTTATGTCACTCTAACAAAATCTGTGGACAGACCCAGAACGCTACCTTAATGAAGACAGTGACAAGGATATTATTGACAATTTAAAATAACACAAAAAACTAATTATTTTCCTACTACTACTAAATAGGAATACCTAACTATTATTCGGCTTTCAATTTGCCATATCTAGCTTGTTTTTAACATGGATTGATATTTATTAATTTTTTTATTTTTTTTATGCACAATGAAAGAACAATTTCAAAATGTGACTTTTGATTCAATTACGGGTTCCTGACAGCAAAATGCGAATTCCAGTGTATCTCAAGCATAGTTTCGTTGGACCTCAGCAATATGTTCTGTATTCGACAGAGGATTCAATTCTATGGTAGAAATGTCCTTCTGTTAAATGCAGGGACAGAGTTACAACATGCCCTTCACAATATGCTCTCTGTTCCCGATCAGCTGATACGACTCACTCTGCATGAAGCTATGCAGTCGAAACTTCGTTTTTGATCCAAGATGGCGAAAGTGTGGAAAAGGTCAATAAGACCCTAGTACCGATAAGGAGACTACTGGTAACATAGTTAGAAGGTTTCTCTGTATTAGAATAAGATGTAAATTTGCCAAAGTGTTTATCAGCAATAACCTCAACCAGACGAAAACTGTGCATCTGGTCGTGACACTGAGCACTCTTGTCAATCGGGTGTCCTCGTCATCCTGTCACCCACTGTATTATTTGTCACATAAGTTGTATTCAAAAGCCGACTGTGACACTAGCCTAGAAAGATGTTCTCATTACATCCAAAGGAACAGACCCATCCCTACCTTTGCCTAGATGCCACAAATGTGTTTCAATCATGATTATGCTTGATTATTTCTATTTGAAAATATGGGTCCTTGCTTTAACAAGCATCTCATGGAAACGAATGTACAAAATGTCTTCCTTTTCCATTCAGTGTTTCTAGTGAATATAATGCCTTTTGTAAATGTATATACCCTGAGTGCAAGTTATTCAAGAACATTTCAAAATCTCATGCAAATATGACGTCTTGCAAGTCACCGTGACCTACTTCTGGTATAAAAAGAATGTCATCACTTGTTATACATAAGTATTCAAACAATATTACCACCACATTCATAAGCCTTTAATAAGTCACTGTGACAAAATATTGACCATGGTTATGAATGAGATACACATGAAATAATATCCCTGGGATATCCAAGCATTGCGTGGTTTCAATAACAAAGTGGCCCTGCGCCGCAGTCATATTCAGAAAATTCAACACAATGATTTACATACCCTTTGCCGCTGATATTACTCTGTCTTGGAGATGGGTTAGCTTGGTCTTATCCTCAATGACTGCCTGTGGAAACAGATAACGTTGCAATTAACAGATGTTCATGTATCACGTATCATGATGTCCTCTGTATTATATATAAAGGGTGAGTAAGCTTCTGACCTCGCTTTGTTATTTATGGATTCAGAACTGCAACTTCCACAACATAATGGAGATAATGATATCCTTATAACTTAGTGTAATCATCTTACCGTTCTTAAAAGTTGGAAAAGGTCCTTCTGGTTTGACATTCCGTCCTGGAGCTTCATCATCTGTGTTCGACGAACATCGGTCTGCCGGTCACCATCCTCCTCCTCTGTAACACCGTCATAATACAACTGAACAGTTGACAGCAAACGGTACATAACCAGCCTGAAAATTATCACTCTCTACAAAACATAGGACGTGTCACTGTTAGCACTAACGCAGTCATATGAGACACCACGTCGCGGGATACAATAATGTGAAAAGTGAATATGGTATGCATACCGTATGATAATCCCTTCTTTAATGGTTCAGCAATCATGCTCGATCTGACAATGTTGGACTGAAAATAAAAATGTCAATGTTCCAAGTAAAGGTGCCATTATTTGCTGAAATATACATTTGTTCGTTAAACATTGACTAAACAGCAGATTGTTAACAAGATTTTCACTGGCAACGATGCAGTTTTAGAAAGGGGAAAAGTGAACTTTTCCTTTTTAAGTACTATGTACCAATATCTTTGTGCCAATAATATGAAGTTTTATTCCAAGACGGTTTATCATCGCCTTGAGTGTTGGTTATTATCAGTTTAACTGTGCAGTTCAATACCGCATCAAGAATAATAACTATACATTACAACTACTTCAATTCCGTTTGTATAGAAAGTTTTGTGTTCAGAACTAATTGATTGTAGAAATTCATCCAAATAAATGTGAATAGAAGATTACAACTACACGTGTGCAAAAACCATGCTGCTCATCTCAAATCGGTGTTGTTTGTTTTCCCTTCAGTAGATTATCAGAATGAAAGTCGCAATAAGATATGTCGATAGCTGCAGGGGAGTTACAGTAAAACATGAGGAAGGGTTCGGAAGAACACGTGGTCAGAGAATAACCCAGAAATACAACCCACACTTACAACATCACATCCCCATATTGGCCTTACGACTGCCGCAGAAACCACTATTCGATAAAGTGCCATTCCGAGGAGACGAGTACAAAAATAAAACTTACGACATCAAGTTCCTGTACCAAACAGAGTAACTTCAGAGCATCCACTTCCCACAATAAGTACTCCATCTGCCTTTTCCACTTATCTGAACAGAAATGATCCAAGCTAAATTGCACATCATTTCTTTGTCCACTCACCACTAAATATAATGTAAAGAGAACTTTATCAAACAATATTTCCAATGTCAGAAGCATTTCTAAAAGTCATACCATCGTGCAGACCACAGAGTTGTTTCTCCATGTCGTGTACTTCCTGAAAGATAACGTAAGACAATATAAGTTGTCCACCAGTTTCGAGGGGGGCCATGAGTTGATGTACTCTCTGTGCTACTTTATGTTCCCCGAGCCCGACTGAACAAGTCTGCAGTCTGCACCGAGTCCTCGAAGGACGAAGGGAACATTAACTTACATACAGTGTATATCAACCCATGTCACCCTCGAGACCAGTGAACTAGTTATGATACAGGTCTGTCCTGGGCATGCGTGATTTTGTCCGAATCGGTAAGTATACTACGGTGAGCGATTTAACCACTTCTTTCTTTATCAACTGACTTGATCAAACTTAGAGTTATGCCCCCTAGATCTATTTCATTCGAAACATATAATATAAGTTTTCAGAGAATGTAATGTAACTGGAATATTGTTAAAAGCGGTGTTAAACCCTACTGACACACTCAATCACTGACTGTATGTAAAGATGAAATACTAAGCACTCGATTCGCAGACCTACGATTTCAAAAGGCCAACTTATCGACTCCGTCAGGGTGCGATGTACTTCCAGTCAGAACAAAGAAAATTAGAAAATATCTGAATGATGTTTATACCTTCTCTGCCGTCTGTAACCGCATCTTCAATTCTTCAACACTGGTAGGATCTTCGTTGAAAGCAATATGTTATGATGGCGATTTATTCAAAATGATGAATACATAAACTGCTCAGAACAAATTTAACGAATGCAAACACTTACTAATTATGTTTATATCACAAAATGTCATGTATGACAAGAATGTGAAGCCATTATTAACGGTGTCACGTTTCTTGATTTTATTACTCGAAAGCAAAATCTACTTTTGTACAATATAATAATGAGGTGAAAAGTGACATTAAATTGTTTATGTTATATGCATACCATTGTTTATATGTAACAAATTATTCACCTGCCATTATATGCATAGATATTAACGTCCATAATAAGTCAGCCTTAAAATTTATTTGTCAGATTTATTTGTCATATTGATTGAGCTCAATTGTTTAAGTCTCCTTAACTTACCTTACTGCTCATGCATATAAAGAGCACACAACACTCTTCTAATGCATATCAATGTTTATATACACTGTCAGGAACATTGCCTCATAACGACCATGGTATGTTGTAAATTGCAATGATTCGGTTGATAGTTTGGATTATTGAAATTAAACTATCAATGATTGTAATGGGAATAAATCTAAGAAAGTTTGTGTGTACATGTATTTGCATATCTTACCAATAGAGCGTTTGGATGTTGGAGGAAATAATTGTAATCAATTCACTTATTTTAGAAACTTTTGCGGTAAAACAACTACATCTCTCATACATTATATGAACACACGTACCTGTTTGAAATCGCCACACTCGACCTCGAGGCCTGCAGGGTAAAATGCGAGCATCAAGAACAATGCTCTCATACGCTGATAGATCCCACTTCCAGACATCATTCAGTGATATTGTTGATGCGTGCACAGATCTGGAAATGAAAAACCTCGTCTTGACATGGAATCGAACATGAGATACATGTCACTGGCTCCTGGGAAAACTAACTGTAGAACCAGGTACATCATAATGGTCGAGCCGTTCTATTGAACCTACCTCAATCTGTCCCTCTCTTCCCTTGACTGACAGACCAGCAGTGTGTCGCCCAGTCTGCTCAGTCTCCTTGCCACCTCCAGCATCAGGACGGTGGCTTCACGTTTAGAATGAAGCCTCACCTCAACGTTGTTACTGTTTATATTTTCCAACAAAAGGATGCAGTGTTCTTTGGTAAGAAATCCTAACTGACTCTCGTTTGCATCTACTTTTGTCTCAGCTAATGCTGCCCAAAATGCCATAAGTATTTGGTCATACTTGAATGAATTCATCAACAAGGAAGTTTTGGAAACGAATGCTGAAGATATTACGGCAATATTTTGTAACTTTGCAAAGAACACGTTAGGATCTTTCATATCATTTGTGGAAACAACTCCACGTATAACATTAATGCTTTCATTGGTAAACCGACGTAGTTTTGAAGTCACTTCTCTGGCCACTGAGGTGTTGTAACTTCGCACCATATCAGTTTCCTTGTCACAGGTTATCACTGTCAGTACAACCAGGGGCTGGTGGGGCATGGCTAGAAACATGTCACATCTTACTGGGGTTGGTCTTTCTAACACTGGAAAGTCTAATGTTATTGCTAAGGATTCTGTCAAATGCACAAAACACGTTGTGTCACCACAGGTGTCCAGTTCTGCGCCAGTGACAAGGTTGCAACGATACAGGGATTCGTCAGTTTCCAGTAGTGAAAGTAGCATGTCTTTGATGTCCAGAATGTGACCCGGCAGGTTGGTTGGAGCGATGTTGACGCCGCCTGTGGATATCAAGATCGGTTAATTCACTTCTTGAAGTCAGTGTAAACAGCGAAACAAAGGTATTCTGCTTGCCAGGGAAATGTGTTGGTTTTTGTTTTACCAATGATAATAACTGTCTTTTCAAGTTATTGGTTTCGTATCTGAATTTCCTTACATATGGCAAACCATCAGGAATCACATGATCAGTGATTAAAAACAGTTCATATCGTAGTCAGAAGCAATAAAAGCTGTGAGGAAGTTACCAAAACGCAATGTATTCGCAGAAAAATGCAGAAAGCATACTGGTATCACATGCACGACTATGCAACCTCCGAAAATTATAAGAAATTGTTGCTTTGAATCAGTGATCATCACGATACCACTAAATCAAACATGACAGTAGCGCACACTGGAAATCATGATAACAAACTGTGAAGACTGTGAGGTACGATTCATCACATTAGGGGATAGACTTAGATCATCATCAAGTATAAACACAATTTAGAGCCATAGCTCACAAGGGAATAAGCTATCAACGAAAGTTTAAACGTAGCATGACCATGGCTGTTGCGTCAGAAACACTCAACCGTTTTCAGTGACTCATTGATTTTCCTTCGATATGACACAGCACGACCTCTATAGTGGCGGTTTAGTGATGGTGTGGGATGGCATCACTTACAGCTACACAACAGTATTCTCCAAGTCTTGATTATAGAATTATACTATCAAAGTTTGCAAAGGATCAAGTTTTGAAGATATCAAAATATCCTCCAACAAATACAGATTAAAATATCGCGGTACACAATGATTGGGAACACCTATAGGGCCTCAATTTCATCATGAAACGGAGAGAGACATGATGTCATTGGCACGTTTTGCACGAGGTGCTAAAAAAACTGTATTTGGAGGTACAGTGAGATAATCGCTGTACATCATTATCAGTGAGCAAAACCAACAACATTTGCGACGAAGGATTACAACAACTAATGCAATTATGTCTCCTCAACGCCAAAGACGTTGTTTGAGGCATAGTCATGCTTGAAACTAGGTCACCACAACGTCTTGTTGCAGATGTCTTTGGGTGTTAGCCAAAGTGTGATCAGCAGGTCATAGAACCGATACCAGACATTTGTATCAGCTTTTCAGCGACATTCAGGTCGACTACATACCATCACACAGCTGGAAAATAGGTTTCTCCCTTTTGTAGCAAGACGTCATCACTTTGTGACTGCAACCACACTCAGAAATAACCAGCGGAACGCCAGTGGCATTATAGTTTTTCCTAAGACAGTACGCAATCGTCTCCGAGAGGCTGCTATTACTGAAGACAATTTTCACATGGCACCATCCAAATATTTATTGGGAACAGAGATCTCTTCACGTGGATTACATGCGCGATCCTGAGAGTTGTTCTTTTTGGGCAATGAATTTGTTTTCCTGATTGTTAGATTTGGTGAGATACTCTCATTTTGACTGGTGATCTGTATGTTGGCATTGTGCAGGACAAGATAACCGACTTTTGTTCATTGACCATGTCTTCTCGCAATATAGTCGTTGGCTGCTTCAACAGATGCACATAATTTACCTTTTAAGGTGGTGAACCTTTGCAAATGTTGAGTGATATATTCCTGCTATTTTAATTAATCATATCAACTGCATTTACCTTACTTGTTTAACCAAAGAAAAGAAACAGTGTACCTTTGCTCATGTAGTGACGCTTAATGTCAGTGATATGTTCTCTTGTCTGCTGTAACTGTGGGCGCAGAAAGTCTTTGCTGTTGAAATAATGGAAGCCATCCTCCTTCCCGTTTGATGCATTAATCTGAAAATACTGTCATGTGTAACAATCAGCAGTTCTAAAACATACAGAAAGTCAGTGATAACTGACATTTCAAGTTAATATAAAACAGTGGCCACAAGCATATATGCTTTGCCTGTATCTGTATCTAAGCTACTGATACCAACATTCTGATCAACAGGTCATTTTCGTTTTCAGGTGTATATTGAGTGATCCTGCGATACATTTGTCCAAATTAGTATATACAAATACTAATTGATAGACATATATTTAGTTTGGACTTACTGTTTGTACATGTGTATCTCGTGACCTGTTTGGAGTACCTGAAAATCAACATTCAGTTATAAGTCAAGTCTGGCGTATTTAGTAACTGATAAATGACGTCTTTGAATTAAAATTTAGGGATTACCGATAATAACCTTTAAGTATTGTATGTTTGAATATGATCAGCAAAGTTCTCACATACATGTAAATGAACGTAATAGCCATGACCCTAAAACAACATTTAATATACATAACTTCACGTTACATCAATACCTTTCAGGAACAGCCATTGTCGACCACAAGGTTCGAACAGATCACTTCGAGTTCCATGCACCACATTCTCAAAGCTGGACATGTTCAGATCTTCCACATCAAATGTCGTGATTGTGGACGAGTGAACTGACCTGCAAATAATAAATAGTAAAAAAAATTCATTTGAACCAGTAACTGTGAGAAATTTGTCATCCCATTGCTCCTTTTCTCCGCCATATTTTTGGACACACGTCAGACACGTCAGATATGGGAGTACTTGAGAATATATCTGACATTGACTTGTCTTGTTTGAAGGTCAGTCTCACCTATTGTAACAGACACGTCAGAGATGGGAGTACTTGAGAATATATCTGACATTGACTTGTCTTGTTTGAAGGTCAGTCTCACCTATTGTAACAGACACGTCAGAGATGGGAGTACTTGAGAATATATCTGACACTGACTTGTCTTGTTTGAAGGTCAGTCTCACCTATTGTAACAGACACGTCAGAGATGGGAGTACTTGAGAATATATCTGACACTGACTTGTCTTGTTTGAAGGTCAGTCTCACCTATTGTAACAGACACGTCAGATATGGGAGTACTTGAGAATATATCTGACACTGACTTGTCTTGTTTGAAGGTCAGTCTCACCTATTGTAACAGACACGTCAGAGATGGGAGTACTTGAGAATATATCTGACATTGACTTGTCTTGTTTGAAGGTCAGTCTCACCTATTGTAACAGACACGTCAGAGATGGGAGTACTTGAGAATATATCTGACACTGACTTGTCTTGTTTGAAGGTCAGTCTCACCTATTGTAACAGACACGTCAGAGATGGGAGTACTTGAGAATATATCTGACATTGACTTGTCTTGTTTGAAGGTCAGTCTCACCTATTGTAACAGACACGTCAGAGATGGGAGTACTTGAGAATATATCTGACATTGACTTGTCTTGTTTGAAGGTCAGTCTCACCTATTGTAACAGACACGTCAGAGATGGGAGTACTTGAGAATATATCTGACATTGACTTGTCTTGTTTGAAGGTCAGTCTCACCTATTGTAACAGACACGTCAGAGATGGGAGTACTTGAGAATATATCTGACACTGACTCGTCTTATTTGAAGGTCAGTCTCACCTATTGTAACAGACACGTCAGAGATGGGAGTACTTGAGAATATATCTGACACTGACTCGTCTTATTTGAAGGTCAGTCTCACCTATTGTAACAGACACGTCAGAGATGGGAGTACTTGAGAATATATCTGACATTGACTTGTCTTGTTTGAAGGTCAGTCTCACCTATTGTAACAGACACGTCAGAGATGGGAGTACTTGAGAATATATCTGACATTGACTTGTCTTGTTTGAAGGTCAGTCTCACCTATTGTAACAGACACGTCAGAGATGGGAGTACTTGAGAATATATCTGACATTGACTTGTCTTGTTTGAAGGTCAGTCTCACCTATTGTAACAGACTCGTCAGAGATGGGAGTACTTGAGAATATATCTGACATTGACTTGTCTTGTTTGAAGGTCAGTCTCACCTATTGTAACAGACACGTCAGAGATGGGAGTACTTGAGAATATATCTGACACTGACTTGTCTTATTTGAAGGTCAGTCTCACTTATTGTAACAGACACGTCAGAGATGGGAGTACTTGAGAATATATCTGACACTGACTTGTCTTATTTGAAGGTCAGTCTCACCTATTGTAACAGACACGTCAGAGATGGGAGAACTTGAGAATATATCTGACATTGACTTGTCTTATTTGAAGGTGAGTCTCACTTATTGTAACAGACACGTCAGAGATGGGAGTACTTGAGAATATATCTGACATTGACTTGTCTTGTTTGAAGGTCAGTCTCACCTATTGTAACAGACACGTCAGAGATGGGAGTACTTGAGAATATATCTGACATTGACTTGTCTTGTTTGAAGGTCAGTCTCACCTATTGTAACAGACACGTCAGAGATGGGAGTACTTGAGAATATATCTGACACTGACTTGTCTTGTTTGAAGGTCAGTCTCACCTATTGTAACAGACACGTCAGAGATGGGAGTACTTGAGAATATATCTGACACTGACTTGTCTTGTTTGAAGGTCAGTCTCACCTATTGTAACAGACACGTCAGAGATGGGAGTACTTGAGAATATATCTGACACTGACTTGTCTTGTTTGAAGGTCAGTCTCACCTATTGTAACAGACACGTCAGAGATGGGAGTACTTGAGAATATATCTGACATTGACTTGTCTTGTTTGAAGGTCAGTCTCACCTATTGTAACAGACACGTCAGAGATGGGAGTACTTGAGAATATATCTGACACTGACTCGTCTTATTTGAAGGTCAGTCTCACCTATTGTAACAGACACGTCAGAGATGGGAGTACTTGAGAATATATCTGACACTGACTTGTCTTATTTGAAGGTCAGTCTCACCTATTGTAACAGACACGTCAGAGATGGGAGTACTTGAGAATATATCTGACATTGACTTGTCTTGTTTGAAGGTCAGTCTCACCTATTGTAACAGACACGTCAGAGATGGGAGTACTTGAGAATATATCTGACATTGACTTGTCTTGTTTGAAGGTCAGTCTCACCTATTGTAACAGACACGTCAGAGATGGGAGTACTTGAGAATATATCTGACATTGACTTGTCTTGTTTGAAGGTCAGTCTCACCTATTGTAACAGACACGTCAGAGATGGGAGTACTTGAGAATATATCTGACACTGACTTGTCTTATTTGAAGGTCAGTCTCACTTATTGTAACAGACACGTCAGAGATGGGAGTACTTGAGAATATATCTGACACTGACTTGTCTTATTTGAAGGTCAGTCTCACCTATTGTAACAGACACGTCAGAGATGGGAGAACTTGAGAATATATCTGACATTGACTTGTCTTATTTGAAGGTCAGTCTCACTTATTGTAACAGACACGTCAGAGATGGGAGTACTTGAGAATATATCTGACATTGACTTGTCTTGTTTGAAGGTCAGTCTCACCTATTGTAACAGACACGTCAGAGATGGGAGTACTTGAGAATATATCTGACATTGACTTGTCTTGTTTGAAGGTCAGTCTCACCTATTGTAACAGACACGTCAGAGATGGGAGTACTTGAGAATATATCTGACATTGACTTGTCTTGTTTGAAGGTCAGTCTCACCTATTGTAACAGACACGTCAGAGATGGGAGTACTTGAGAATATATCTGACATTGACTTGTCTTGTTTGAAGGTCAGTCTCACCTATTGTAACAGACACGTCAGAGATGGGAGTACTTGAGAATATATCTGACACTGACTTGTCTTGTTTGAAGGTCAGTCTCAACTATTGTAACAGACACGTCAGAGATGGGAGTACTTGAGAATATATCTGACACTGACTTGTCTTGTTTAAAGGTCAGTCTCACCTATTGTTACAGACACGTCAGAGATGGGAGTACTTGAGAATATATCTGACACTGACTTGTCTTGTTTGAAGGTCAGTCTCACCTATTGTAACAGACACGTCAGATATGGGAGTACTTGAGAATATATCTGACATTGACTTGTCTTGTTTGAAGGTCAGTCTCACCTATTGTAACAGACACGTCAGAGATGGGAGTACTTGAGAATATATCTGACATTGACTTGTCTTGTTTGAAGGTCAGTCTCACCTATTGTAACAGACACGTCAGAGATGGGAGTACTTGAGAATATATCTGACACTGACTTGTCTTGTTTGAAGGTCAGTCTCACCTATTGTAACAGACACGTCAGAGATGGGAGTACTTGAGAATATATCTGACATTGACTTGTCTTGTTTGAAGGTCAGTCTCACCTATTGTAACAGACACGTCAGAGATGGGAGTACTTGAGAATATATCTGACATTGACTTATCTTGTTTGAAGGTCAGTCTCACCTATTGTAACAGACACGTCAGAGATGGGAGTACTTGAGAATATATCTGACATTGACTTGTCTTGTTTGAAGGTCAGTCTCACCTATTGTAACAGACACGTCAGAGATGGGAGTACTTGAGAATATATCTGACACTGACTCGTCTTATTTGAAGGTCAGTCTCACTTATTGTAACAGACACGTCAGAGATGGGAGTACTTGAGAATATATCTGACATTGACTTGTCTTGTTTGAAGGTCAGTCTCACCTATTGTAACAGACACGTCAGAGATGGGAGTACTTGAGAATATATCTGACATTGACTTGTCTTGTTTGAAGGTCAGTCTCACCTATTGTAACAGACACGTCAGAGATGGGAGTACTTGAGAATATATCTGACACTGACTTGTCTTGTTTGAAGGTCAGTCTCACCTATTGTAACAGACACGTCAGAGATGGGAGTACTTGAGAATATATCTGACACTGACTTGTCTTGTTTAAAGGTCAGTCTCACCTATTGTTACAGACACGTCAGAGATGGGAGTACTTGAGAATATATCTGACACTGACTTGTCTTGTTTGAAGGTCAGTCTCACCTATTGTAACAGACACGTCAGATATGGGAGTACTTGAGAATATATCTGACATTGACTTGTCTTGTTTGAAGGTCAGTCTCACCTATTGTAACAGACACGTCAGAGATGGGAGTACTTGAGAATATATCTGACATTGACTTGTCTTGTTTGAAGGTCAGTCTCACCTATTGTAACAGACACGTCAGAGATGGGAGTACTTGAGAATATATCTGACACTGACTTGTCTTGTTTGAAGGTCAGTCTCACCTATTGTAACAGACACGTCAGAGATGGGAGTACTTGAGAATATATCTGACATTGACTTGTCTTGTTTGAAGGTCAGTCTCACCTATTGTAACAGACACGTCAGAGATGGGAGTACTTGAGAATATATCTGACATTGACTTATCTTGTTTGAAGGTCAGTCTCACCTATTGTAACAGACACGTCAGAGATGGGAGTACTTGAGAATATATCTGACATTGACTTGTCTTGTTTGAAGGTCAGTCTCACCTATTGTAACAGACACGTCAGAGATGGGAGTACTTGAGAATATATCTGACACTGACTCGTCTTATTTGAAGGTCAGTCTCACTTATTGTAACAGACACGTCAGAGATGGGAGTACTTGAGAATATATCTGACACTGACTTGTCTTGTTTGAA